CCTAATAGTTCCTGCTTCAAAGCATACTGAGGACAAAACAAGAGGCTCTTGGCACAGTGCTTTTCACACGCGTGGCCTCCAGACCCCAAGAGCAGCCCCTCAGCGGACTCCAAGGACCCAACAGAACTGAAAGGATTTGTTCTGTGAAATCTGGATTCATTCAGTCGAAGGCCCACTCACGGATCCAGAAGGTCACATGTGGCCCCAGGGCTGCAGGGTCCCCGCCGCTGGATGGACTCAAGCCAAGTTCAGCTCGGCAAGCACGCTGTGCGCTATGCGGCAGGCACCCTGCCAGTGACGGCTCGGGACAAAGGAAATCGCCGCCCAGGGAACAGACAAACGCTCAGACACTTCCGTAGGATGCATTAGATACTGAGGCAGGAGGATGTCCAGGGTGCTATGGGGTCCCAGACAGAACTCTGTGTATCTGGTCCAACCGGGAGATTCTGGAAGGACACTTAGCTAAGTCTCAAAGGGGCGGAGTGACCAGGAGAAGAAGGGGAGCGGACGCCAGCGTTCCGAGCTGAAGAAATGGCACGTGCAAAGGGCCTGTTCTGGAAGGAGAACCTCGGACTTCAAAGCCAGCATGCTGAGCAGCACGGTGCTTCCTCCCGCCCGCCACGGAGCAGGGGGCCACGGAGGACCAAGGTCCTCTCGCTGTGCGGCGAGCCGTGCTGTCACCCGAGGCAGGCCGGGGGCGCGGAGGGATGCAGCTGTACTGGTTGAAGGGGACGCGGTCCTGCTCTCCGGGGCTGTGCATCTGAGAGGCTCTCGCCGTGCCGTCTGGGCCGGAGGGTGGCCCAGCTCACGCACAACGGCAGCCGGGCCCCGCCACCCTGCGCGGAGACCATCCGGGCTGACGGAGCATCGGAGCGATCTCTGGAGGCCCAGCGAGGGGCCCGCTGGGGTGCCCAGGTGGACTCTGGGGGAAGCCCCCACCGTGCTGCCCCGTCTGGCCGGGAGAGCTTTCCCAGCCTGCTCAGACGCGGCTGACCACCTGGCAGGCCACGAGCAGCCAGTCAAATGAGCTCGCTGCCGTAGAGGGGCCGGGCGCAGGGCAGGGAGGGACAAGCAGTCCCACAATGGACAGAAGCCCTGGCCCCCAGCCCCTCGTGCCCCTCCAGCCGACGGCCAGCTGATGTCTTGTGGGAAGGGCAGCCAGGTGGTCACCCCTACAATATGGAGTCCCAGGCCTTCGTGGGGGCACTTCTTAGAGACAGCTGTGGGCTTGGGAGGTGGTGCTGCACAACCTTTAGGTGCAGGGTGAGGAGAAACAGGTGGAAGTTCTACCTGGCGGGAGCCAAGACGCACCTCCCAAGCCCACTCACATCCTTCTTTGCCCTCACTCGCTGGGAACTCTGGGTCAGCCTCTCGCGCTCTCTGGCCTCAGTTTCCCTCTCTGTTCATGCTGAACTGAACTGGGTGACATCTCCGGCCTCACCTCTTCACACGAGACCCCCTTGCCCTGGGCACAGAGCTGGGGAAAGTCCCCAGGGGGTTCCTCCCGCACACGGGGAAAGGGACGGGCCCCCCGTTGCCCGCCCGCGTGTGGACGGTCTGCAGGGCTTGTGCCAGGCAGGGGCAGGGCGGGAAGGAGGCCCCAGCTGCCTGCCCGGATCCTGGCCGCTGAGCGTAAACTGCAAAGAGCCAACGGTCACTGCAGCTGTGGAGTCCTAGTCCGGAGGACACATTCCTTTCGCAGTCAGCACCCAAGGAGTCAGCTGGGAGCTGGAGGCTCCCTCCCTCCCGCGGCCCGTCTGCGGGACCCACGCAGGCCTCCCAGGCCGCAGTCCCCCAACGGTTAACACGGTTTCCTCCCCGACTGACAACAAGCACAGCACCAAAACAATCAACTATTTTTATCTCCGGATTAATCACAAAGAGGCTAATGCTTCCACCTTCTTGTGATTAAAAATTAGGAGAACAAACCGTGTGGGGGTTCCGGAGAATAACCAGTCCTGCGAGGCGCATATGAATAATGCATGTCCCGCTTGCGCCACCCTCCCGCCCCCGCCGCCCAGCCCGGGCCAGTCTGAAGGGGAGGGAACGAGCCCCTCCCTGCCTGCGACAGCTGCCCAGCGACTTGATTGCTATTCAGCCCTGGCCCCACATCCCCTCCTCACCCCCACCCAGCCCCACCCACGCCACTCCCACCCCATCTGGCAGCAGCCGGGCGCAGGCCAATCCGCGATGCACGGCTGCGTGAATCACCAGCGTGGTAACCGCTTATCTGGGAGACACAATCAGGGCCCATTCTGAGGGCGGATGTTTGTGTGTGGCCGTGTGTGCTGCCCGCTCCCCCTCCAACTGCACACTCCACACACACGCACACGCTCCACCAACACGCACACGCTCCACAAACACGCACATGCTCCACAAACACGCACCCGTTCCACAAACACGCACACGCCCCACAAACACGCACCCGCTCCACAAACACGCACCCGCTCCACAAACACGCACCCGCTCCACCAACACGCACACGCTCCACAAACACGTACACGCTCACAAACACACACCCGCTCCACAAACACGCACCCGCCCCAAAAACACGCACCCGCCCCACAAACACGCACAGGCTCCACAAACACGCACCCGCCCCACAAACACGCACAGGCTCCACAAACACACACCCACGGGAGGGGCGAGAAGGAAGGGCTGGGCCTCTCGGTGTTTGATTTTCGGAAAGGCCTCCCCAGCCCCTGCGCCGCGATCAGCGTGCGCAGGGCTCGCACGCACCCCAGCAAAGAGCCCAGAGACGGCTGGTTCTCAAACCTGGTCAGGCATCAGGACCCCCCAGGGAGCTTTAGAAAGTGCCGGTGCCTGGGGCCCACCTGCAGCCATTGGGATCTCGGTGGTCCGTGCAGCCTGGCCACAGGATTTCGAAACCCTCCACAGGAGACTTTGACACACAGTCAAGGTTTCGAACCCGTGTCTTAGACGCAGCGATGCCAGGACTGGGGGAACTTCCCAGATCCTCTGTGTGCTTTCACGTTTTATACCTGAGGAAACCAACGCGGGAGAAGTGGCCGTCTTCCTTCTTCGTCCTCTGCTCCAGGGACTTCCCACGGTCCCACGCCACGTGGCTCATCCCCGGGGAGGCTGAGGCAGGACGGGCCAGGTGTTTAGTCTCCCCGGGCCCACGGCAAGCTCAGGAGCCGGAGCGCCTCCGTCCTGGGCATCGAGCTGGGCGAAGCGGCCCCCGTAGCAGGCAGGGGCCCCAGCCTTCCAGAGGGTGAAGCTGGCCCCTTCTCCCCAGCCCCAGCTCTGCCCGCTGGCAGGCCCTGCCCACCGAGGGGCATAAAATTGCCTGCAGCGCAGCTGGTCACACCCACCCTCCACGGGAAGCCCTCGTAGCCTCCCTGTGCGCTCTGGCCATGCCCACACCGGGGGCCAAAGGGCACTAGCGAGAGGGTGCGGGAAGGGGGCGTCTTCATCGTCCAGCCCGTACACACTGCTTCCTCCGGCCCGGCAGCGCCAGGGCACCCTGCCGAGCCCTGGGTTGAGAGCAGAGGGCCGGGCAGGGCTGGATGAGGCCGACTCTCCCTGGGCCCGGACTGCTGCCCCTGGGGTCAGTGACGGCTTCCTGCAAGCCCTGGGCGGAAAGGGAGGGCACAAGGCCACTAGCCTGAAGCTTCACTGCTTTGGGTACTTCCCTGGCCCCGGGGGACGCTCCTGCCCCTCCTGGGGCTGGCAGAGAGGCCCGAATGGACTGGGAGAGGGGCTGATGGGGAGGCTCCCTGGGGCAGGGAGAGAAGCCGGGCAGGTGTGGGGGCCGCCCTGCGGGCTGAGGGCGGAAGGCGGAGTCTGCTGTCAGGACCACCGGAGCCGAATCTCTAGCTCTGAGCTTGCGCAGCCCACGGGCCTCAAGCACAGAAGCTTGAGCCCAGGGCCCGGGGGGAAGGCTCGGCTTTCTCTGGCAGGCAAAGAAGACCCTCGTGCCGGTCCCAGGCCCCAGGCACCCAGGTGTCCTGCCACCAGTCGCGGAGCACACACAGCACAGGCCTCTAGCGTGTCCGGAGGCCCAGAGCCCCTCTCAGCCTCCAGAGCTGGGTGACCTGGCCCCCCAGGGAAAGAGAAACGGGTGGTCTCCAGGGACCCCTGCCCCTTCTGTGGCTTGCCAGGGAGCAGCAGAGGCCTGGGACCCTCACCGTGTCCATGAGCACGAGCACCAGAAGAGGCTGTGTGTCCCTCGAGAAGTCACTCCACTTCTCTGGGCCTCTTCCCCAAACAGTGATCCCCACCGTCCTGACTGCCAGTCCTGCAGCCCATGGTCACTGTGGGAGCAAAGGGTGGCTCCCCTGGAGCCAGAAGGCGTCTGTGGAGCTTCCGCCAGGCACGGGGCCGGGCGCTGTGGACCCCTCGCCTCCAAGTGGCCGACCACACTTCATAGCACAGCGGGAACCGGGCCGGGAAAGCCTTGTTCTGACTCCGGGACGAGGGGCTGGAGCGGCTCTGGGATGCCGGGGGGTGCACGGCCCCCCGAAGCGCAGTCTCCACCTGAAAGGGTCGCCTGTCACCTGGCACTCCGGTCAGGGCCTGGCTCTGCCACTCACTCTCCAGGTGACCTTGAGCAGGTCACTCAGTCCTGCTGGGCCTCAGTTTGCAGATCTGTGTAATCGGGACGATAATAATAATGTTTGCTTTGAAAGATTGCGTGAGGATCGAATCAGACAACAGAAGCGACAGTCTTCGTTTAAAGGAAAAAGAAGTTTGAAAGAAAGCACAGGTGTTGTCCGGGCGCGGAGCTCAGAGGCTGCTGACGCCTGGCCCGTGCCCTCGTGCACGCCGCGCGCACACGCGCGATGGGCAGGGCCTTCCTCCGCGGGAAGCACACGGCACGCGTCAGGGATCCCTGCTGCTGTGTGTTCTGTGTTTCAACACCAGGGGTTACTCGTTTTATTAAAGGATGATAATTTCCGTTTGTCGTCCTCCCAGCCCAGCCCGCCATCCTGCCCGGGGCGGGGGCTCAGCCCGATCTCTCTGCTCCTCTCTTGCAGTGCCACCCGATGACCCCATCATCCTGGGCGGGCCAGTGATCAGCCTGCGGGCGGGGGACCCCCTCAACCTCACCTGCCACGCAGACAACGCCAAGCCGGCGGCCTCCATCATCTGGCTGCGCAAGGGACAAGTCATCAACGGAGCCACCTACTCCAAGGTGAGGCCCGCCGGGGCGGCCGGTGGGGAGGGGCCGGCTCTCCCTGCCTCTGCGCGCCAGTCACTCTGTTTCTCGGCATCTGCCTGTCCTCCCCCGTGCTGTGGCTGTCCTCCTCCTCTGTGTGTCCATCCTTTGACCTTTCCGCCTCTCTGCCCGGTTCTCCCCGACCCCCAGGGTAATGCTGGGCTGGGTGAAGACCCCAGGGGTGGGGTGTGGTCTGAAGAGGAGACTCGGGGTACAAGTGGCCAGGGCTTAGGGCTGCCAGATAAAATACAGGATGCCGTCAGGGTCGGAATGTTTGTGTCCCCAAAATTCCTAAGGTGGAATCCCACCCTACAAGGTCATGGGAGGTGACTGGGTCACGGGGTGGGGTCCTCTTGGATGGGAGCAGGGCCCTTACGGAAGAGGCCGAGGGGAGCTTTCCAGGTGTGAGAGCACGGCGAGAGGAGGGCCCGGCCTCCAGAATGTTGAGAAACAAATTCCCGTGGTTTCTAAGCCACCCAGTTTATGTCTTTTGTTATAGTAGTCCAAGTGGGCTAAGACAGATGCCTAGTTAAATCTGAATTTCAGAAAAACAACAAATAAAATAACTTTTTAGTACAAATATGCTCCAAATATTGCATGGGACATACTTTGGGGCCATACGTATACTAAAAAATTATTCATTGTTTATCTGAAATTCAGGTCGAACTGGTCCTGCTGTATATTTATTACTATTCGCTGAGTGTGGCATCTTGCCAGGACGGCCAGGGAAGGCTGTTTGTTTTGCGCTGTACAAGGTGCTGGGCTCGGGCCGGGCAGGGCTGAAATCCGGCCCAGAATCCCACCCCCGGCCCTGTCCCTGCTGTGCCGACCAGCAGGAGTGCTTTTCTCTTCCTGGAAGTGCCCTGGACTGGCCCCAATATTAATCACGTTTTTTTATCCTCTGTATTTTGCGATGCTTTGACATCTTGGGGCCTTGTAGAGCCAGGGAGGGGCCAGGGCTAGCTAATTCCTAGAGAGAGCGAACACCTTGCCTGCAAGCACGCCTTTGACACGCAGACCGACACTCCCAGCCCCCCAGCCTCTTTTCGTCAGGCGCATGTGGCTCCTCCTTTGTTCCTCTTGCCTCTCTCGGCCTGGCACCAGAATGGGGGCCAGAAGTCCACGAACCAGGGAAGGAAGGAGAGGTGAGGGACAGGGAGAGAAGAGCGTGGGCTGGGCCCACAGCGCACTCTTTCCCGGAAGCCGGCTTCCTGCCCCGCCCACTACTGCCCAGGTAGGGGCCAGGCCAGGGGGGAGGGTTACTTTCATGTCCGTGTCCACCTTGGAGCCCTTTGCCCCCCGCCCTACCTCTCTGTGTGCTCAGCTTCAGGCGGCCACGGGCCGCAGGGCTGGCTCCGGCCCACCTGGCACCACCGGCCTCGCCTGTTGGGCCCGTGCTCGGCGGAGCTCAGGAAAGGGAGGAGCTCGCACACCCCAGGGTCCTTGCTCCCTGCCGGTCACCCCATCACCCCCACCCCCCCCGCCCAGCTTAGGGGCCTGGAGTCTCCACCCAGCGCAGCCGCTCATCCTGCCTTCTGGGAAGGGCTCCCTTCTGGCCTCAGGCCACGCAGCTGGACGCAGGGTCTGGAACAAACAGCACCAGGCAGCTCCCCACCCTCCCCACCCCCCTCTTCAATCCAGGTGACAGCGGCCCACGCGATCCCCAGGCAGTTATAAAAGGGGGAAGCAGAGCGATGATTAAAAAAAAAAGACCCGGCAGGTGGGGGAGGTGGTGGGACCCAGGAGAACAGAGAGGCCTGGTTGCCAGGCAGTGGCTGCTCAAGGCCTTGCCAGCTGTTTGCATACCAATGAGCATGCCGTAGTTAGCCACCCACTGCAGTCCCACCTCTGAGGGCTCAGCCGGCTCTCCACTGCCCAACCGGGGTCCTGGGGTCTTTGGGAAGAGTAGAGTGGCCGCCACCGCCCACGCTGGACAACCGCACCGAGGGTAGGCTCTGTCCCCAGCCTCCCAAGCCACTGCTGGAAAACCAGAGAGATGGACACCGGGTCCCTTAGTGATGGGGCCATGGGGTGTGCACAGCCCTGGAGCAGCCCTGGAGCAGGCAGAGCTCAGAGCGGGGCCGGGGGCAGCGCAGAAAGCTCCTCGGAGGCAGGCAGCGGGCAGAGGGCCGTGAACACCCACAGACAGGACACAGGAGGGGTGGGCGGGAACCCACCTGCAGAGGCTTGTGCCCCAGGATCCTGTGCACAGGACGCATACACGCCACACACACGCCCGGCCCCTGGCCCGTGCCTGCACTCATGGGGGCTGGGTCTTCGAGGACCCTGGGAGCCACCATCACAGTCACACGGGGCAGCCTGGGAGACCAGAGGCTGCAGTCTGGCAGCACATTAGTGCCCACCAAGCTGGAGGCGGCCTTGGAGTTGGTGGCCTCCAAAACACGTGACCCGCCGCTAATAACCCGCTCCCTCCCAGAGCTGCTTTGCACGCTGACGAAGGTCCCCGAAGCAGGAGCTTGGCGCGGCGCCCACAGAGCCACGTCCGGTGAAGGGAAGAGAGGGAGGGTGGGCGGCGCCGGGAGGGCAGGATCCGCAGATGATGGAATATCCTGCCGCTTGGACACAGTGAACAGGGCCTTAAGGCCGCCAAGTCCAAAGGCTCCATTTGCACATGAGAAAAGTGACGATTGGGGAGATTCATACAAAAGGAATGAAGCAAGAGAAAAGAGAAAGAAGAAGGGAGAGATGAGAGCAGAAAGGAATAAGGGGAAGGAAAACGAGGGTGCAGACAGCCCCCCACACGCCCATCCACCCAGTGCTTCTCACCCCTGCAGGCTCGCCCCCAGCCGCCCTCCTCCCCGGGATGCCCGCCTGGGTCTGGGACCCCCGGCTCGTGGGCCTCCCGGGGCCGACGCAGGACGCTTGCCTTCTCCTGGCTCTTGCCTTGTTTGATGAACACATCTCCCTTTTTGTCTAATTAGGTGGAACAAACAACTTGAACCAGAGTTTTCATTTCCCAGAAAAGCACACACCCAGACCCAATAAATATGTCGTTAATCACCATTCCGAGGTGGAGAAGCACGCTGGGGCAGGCAGGAGGGAAGCAGGCGGGGGCCTGATTAGAGCTGGCTGCTCCCTCCCACTGGCACCCACAGGGCCCGCTCCCCCCACCGCCCCGGAGCCCACCGCCGGCTTACGGAAACGTCCCTTGTCAGAACCCCGGCAAAGTAAAGGAGGCAGGAAGAACAACGGCAAGCCCCTTCCCCATCTCCCCTCCTCCGGTCCCGGTCTTGCTTTCATTCAGGAAATTGTTCTGCTATCGCTGGACTGTTCGCCGCGGGGAGGTCGGCTGAAGAGCCCCAGACCACCCCCGGCCCTGCTCTGGCTTGGGCTGGGCTACGCCCCACCCCGCCTTTGCCGGCCTCTGGTCTGGTGCCCTGGCCCCAAGGCGGCTCTGAGGCTCTGAGCCCTCGGCCTGCTGGGTCTGGCCACATCACTCTCCTCCAGCCCCTCCGGGAGGGCCCCTCTGCCCGGGGAAGTCCCAGGGCCACCGCCCCGCTCTGTGGCTGCCTCTAGAATTTTACGCTGTGCCTAAAGCAGGTGTGCCCTCTAGAGAGAGCCTCAGCCCTGTTCTGAGGCCGCGAGGCTTGCCCCACGTGGAACTGAGGGCCAGAGAGCGGGGTTCCGGCAGCCTACACGCTGCTGCTAGCAAGCTCAGTGACTCGGGGGCTACGTAATCGCCCCGACCGTTCCCGCCTGTAGTGCCAAGGTAGCAGCACCCACGCCCCGGCCTCTCCAGAGCTGCGGCAGAGGGTCGTGGCTCAGGGCTCACCCACTCTCAAGTGCAAATCCCAGCTCCACCAGCGAGTTCCCAACTCACTCTGAACTCAGTTTTCTCTTTGCTGAGTAGAGATAATGTTCCCTCCCTTCCAGGGCCCTTGTGAGAATCGGGGAAGATGCCATGGTTACGTGGCAGGGTTGGAGGGACTGCAGCCTGTTCGTCTATTCCCTGGGCAAAACGGGCCTGCATCCCGCACCCTTCCCTGGAGGGGGTGAAGTCCCTTCCTGGGACCAGGAGCCTTTGAGTACTGGACGGACGCCAATCCCCACCCCCACCCAGCACAGCTCCCGCAGTGTGCCCGCCTCAGCGGGCCCCGGCGACTGGGGGGCAGCTGGAAAGGGGCACGGGGAGGAAAAAGGGGCCAGCTACAGAGTGACACCGTGGCCCAGGGAAGACAGGGGGCCGGTGGCTCTAGGACTCACGTTAGCTTCCCGAGGCTGCCGTAACGAAGGACCACAACTTCGTGCCCAAAACAGCAGGAATTCATGTCCCCACAGCTCATGGTCGTAGGGCCAAGTCTGAAACAAGCTGTCAGCAGGGCCAGCTCCCGCCAAAGGCTCCAGGGAAGATCCTTCCTGCCTCTCCCAGCCCCTGGCGGCTCCTGGCATTCCTTGGCTTGGGGCTGGACTCCAGTCTCTGCCTCCTTCCTCACAGGCCTCCTCCCCTGCGTCTCGCTGGTCTTCTCCTCTTCTTAGAAGGACACCAGTCACTGGATTTAAAGTCACCACTCTGAATCCAGGATGGTCCCCGGTAGGGAGTCTTAACAATTACTACCCACTCAACTAGTCTGCAAAGACCCTACTTCCAAATAAGGCCACATTCTGAGGTTCCAGGTAGACAAGAATTTGGGGGACACTGTTCACCCCACTGAAGGACCCTTGTACTTGTTTCACCACCAACCGGAAGCGTGAGTTTGGTCACGCTCTGCAGCCTGTGCCCATCTCACCTGTCCCCTCACCGGCCAGTGGAAGGTAGTGGCGTCTGTGCCGCCTGTGGCTCTAACAAGGTCAGGACACAACATGCTTTGAGAAGTTGGGGGGATTTCTATAGGCAAATAATCAAAAGCTCAGCGTGCATCGACTCCACCACGTCCCGCCCACCTGCCCTGACTCCCACGCCCAAGGGGCACCCCCTGCGCACTGCCGCTGCTCCTGCCTGTTGCAAACCCTCCCCCTGCTTCTGCAGACCCCAGGGCTCGCCCGGACAGCAGCGGCAGAGCAGGTGTGAGGCCACTGCCGCGGAGGGCCACCTGAAGCTTTGTGTCCCCTAAGCCCAGCCTGGCTGCCCGTGCGCAGGCCTGCAAGCGCAGGCTGACTCCCCACGCAGTGGGGCTTTCGGTTCCTTCTCCTTCCGCAGCCGAGCACGCGGCCAGGCCAGCAAGCCAGGGCCACCCCCAGGACTGGCCCCCGCGACTCCCGAGCAGACTCCCTTCCTCCATCCATGACTCTGCCTTCCTGTCTCAGAGCTGGGGCTTCTCCTCTGCGACCCGTCCGGCCATCACAGCCGAGTGACAAGGAGCTTTCTCTCCTCCTCCCCTCCCCGCCCAGACACTGCTCCGGGATGGCAAGCGAGAGAGCATCGTCAGCACCCTCTTCCTCTCCCCCGGCGACGTGGAGAACGGGCAGAGCATCGTGTGCCGCGCCACCAACAAAGCCATCCCTGGAGGGAAGGAGACCTCGGTCACCATTGACATCCAGCGTGAGTACCGGTGGCCCGCCCGCGCGGCAGGCCCGGGGTGGGAAACACGCAGCCCTCCCTGTAGCTCTGGCCGCCGAGGCAGGAGACGGGTCAGCTCTGTGGACTGGCCGGTTTACAAGTACGAGCGGGGGGTGGGGGGGGCCTCTGTGTTTCCTGCCGTCCCGGGAAGCAACCTCGCAGGTGAAGGTCCTCGGTAAAGGACAACCTTAAGCCACATTTTGACACCTGAACAAGATGGAGCTTCCATATTAATAACCATGGTCAGCTGCTGCCCTGCTGGGCTGGCCGGGGGGCCCCACCCCTGCTGGAGAGGAGCCAGAGTGGAGATGCTGGGGACGGAAGGGCTCTCGGGCGCCGGACGGGCGCGGCACCATGCCCTGTAGAGGGTCCCGGCCACCCTCACGGAGGTCGGTCGGGGGCTGAGAGGAAGAGAAAGAAGGGCTGGCACTGAGCTCATGTTTATACGCATTATCGAATTTAATCTCTACAACCGCTTGGAGGCGGTATCTGGGGAAACTGAGGCACCCGAATGTTGGTTCAGCTGCCCACGCAGGTTTCAAATGCGGGCAGCTTTGCAGAGCCTGCCCGGTGGCACTCCCGCACCCCCGCAGGGCCGGCCTCGGGGCATCCGTCCTTATGGTTCACATGTGACAGTGACGATGCTTCAAAGCTCCGCCAGCAGCACGTCCCAAAAGCCTCCTAGAAGAGACTCCTGAAAGTCTCCCGGAAGTGTCCCCGAGGTGCCTGTCAGCCCAGAGAGCCAAGAAGAGCTCAGCAAGGTGGCTCCCGTGGCCTCTCCCCGGGACTGGGTTCGTTTAGCTTTGAGGTGTCAGCACTCGGAGGCCGACGTCTCCCCTAGAGCACGAAGCCACCGCAGGCCGGCGGCCACTTTGGTCCCGAGCTCCAAATTCCAAGGCTGGAGCGCAGGCTGGCGGCCGCGCCTCCTTAGCGTGTTCATTCTAAAGCAAACACATTTAGAAACTCATCCTAGCAGCCCTGGCCCATCTGAGGCTTCTGGTTTCTGGCTCCTCGTGACCCTCCAGGATCTGGAGTCCAGAGACGCGGAGTCTTGGGGTCTCCAGAACCTGTCTTGGCAGCTGGAGAGCAGAAGTTCCCACCCAGTGTGCAGAGTCCTGCGCAGGCTCCAGAGGGAGCAGAAACAAATGGTGCAAACGGGCTCCACCCCCAGCTCCGGGCTTGGCCAGAGCTCGCAGCCACGGCTCTCCCTGAATGAGGACGGGAAGGAGGATCCCTGGGGTGGGGGTGCGTGGGGGGAGAGGGGTCTGTTAACAGTTGGTGGCGAGATAGCATCTCTGGCTGCCACACAGCCAGCCTGCTGCTCCGGGCCGCGCCCCACGGCCCCCGAGAGCCTCTCTGGCAGCAAGGAAGCGGCCACCAGCAGCAGCCCGCCGTGTTCGCAATGCCGCCAGTGGAGCATCCTGGCCAGGGCACACAGAGACAGAGTCTGCACCCCGGCAGGCACCAGGCCTTGCCAGGTCTCTGGGCCCTCTGGCCTCCTTTCCCAGGGCATCGCAGCCATCCGGAATGAGGTCAGGGTGAGGCTTGGGACCCAGCTGCCTGGTGTCCTAGGTCGACCCCGTCCAAGGCAGCACAGCGCAGTAGTGAAGGCCATGATATTTTTCCTACTTCGAATTCTGGCTCTGCTACTTACTGAGTGACCCTGACCTGGTTAGTTAACCTCTCTGTGCCTCGGTTCCTCATCTGCGCATCTCAGCATG